GCTCTAGATCCACTGCATCCATCATACCTATACCCTGGATCCAGGTCCCTTAAGGCGGGATCCTCCCTCCTTGGATCCTAACTCGAAAGCATGGGATCCGGGTCACCTCGTGGTGGATCTTGACTCCTCGTTAGCCGTGGCTACTAGATCCACCTTCCGAGGACACCTACCATCATTCGTTCATAGGATCCACACTCGATCCACTCTTGTATAGTATATCCCATATCCATTTAGGTGAATCCAAGTAAGGGTGGATCCGAGGTAAGTCTTGGTGGATCTTGCCTTCTCGAACATCGCTCATACCAGATCCATCGTCACTTCATACGGGGCGCTGCTCGTCATGGCTAATCCACCACCGGCAACTTGCATCCGTGCCAGCCAACCCAAATCCTTTCTAATCACTTGAAATTGTCATTGATTCGGGATAGTGACCCCGCGTCAGGCCCATTCTCTTATTTCTGAGAAAGCACTTTACCACAGGGTAGTTCCGCTCGGCGGCTTTGAGTTGCCTGGACTGGAACGAGATGACTCGTTCGTGTCCAGCCGTGTCGGCCTGCACCAATGCACATCCGATGGCGTAATCGGAGGCATCCCAGACGACGCTAAACGGCTTCGTCTCGTCCGGCAGGGCCAGGACAGGGGCCTCTTGGAGACCGGCCTTGATGCTGTCAAAAGCATCCTACTGCTCCTGCTCCCGGCGCCAGTCGACGTCCTTCTCAAGGAGACTCGACAAGGGCTTAGCGGAGCCCGCGTACCCTGCGCTGTACTTGTGAAGGTAGTTGGCCAAGCCTAACCACTTTCGAAGATCCTTCTGGAATCGGGGCATCGGCCATGCTGCTATGGCCTTGACTTTGTCTGGGTCAGCCCGAACGCCCACGTTGCATACGAAGCAACCGAGAACATTAATCTCTGGTGACGCGAAAGCGCACTTGTCGATATTGGCGTAGAGCTTGTTCGCTCGCATTACGTCCAACACTCGACGGAGGTGTCCTAGGTGCACTTCCATGGCCGTCTTGCCTCCTTCGGCACGGCTATGGACGAATATGTCGTCAAAGTACGTCTGTACGAAGGTACGCAAAGGGCGGAACAATTGTGTCACCAGGCGATTGAACGTCGCCGGGTCGTTAGACAAGCCCTGCGCATGACGAGCCACTCCCAAAGCATGCCACTTGGAGTGCTTACCGCGTTGAGCGGGATTGTCGCTCTCTCGCATCAG